CCCCGTGTGTCTGTTTGTCACTTGCAGCTGAAGATGGAAAGAGCCAGGCGAAGGGGAGGCGGCAGTGGCCGCGGCCGCGGCGGCAAGAATTTAGGGGGCTCTGGCCTAAGCAAGAGTAGACTCTATCCTCAGGCCCAGCACTCCCACTACCCCCACTACGCGGCTTCAGCCACCCCTAATCAGGCTGGGGGCGCCGCAGCCGAAATCCAGGAGCTGGCCTCCAAACGAGTGGACATCCAGAAAAAGAGGTTTTACCTAGACGTGAAGCAGAGCTCCAGGGGCCGGTTCCTCAAGATAGCCGAAGTCTGGATAGGGAGAGGCCGGCAGGACAATATCAGAAAGAGTAAACTGACCCTCTCCCTGTCTGTGGCAGCGGAGCTGAAGGACTGTCTCGGTGACTTCATCGAGCACTACGCCCACCTGGGCCTGAAAGGCCACCGGCAAGAGCATGGCCACGGCAAAGAGCAAGGCTCCAGACGGAGACCGAAGCACTCGGCACCCTCTCCACCAGTCTCCGTGGGGTCCGAAGAGCACCCTCACAGTGTCCTCAAAACAGACTACATTGAGAGGGACAACAGGAAATATTATCTAGACCTAAAAGAAAACCAACGGGGCCGCTTCCTAAGGATTAGACAAACCGTGATGCGGGGGACAGGCATGATAGGTTATTTTGGCCACAGTTTGGGCCAGGAACAGACTATCGTACTCCCAGCACAAGGAATGATTGAGTTCCGTGATGCCTTGGTTCAGCTCATTGAAGACTATGGAGAAGGGGACATAGAAGAACGAAGGGGTGGAGACGATGATCCACTTGAACTCCCAGAGGGGACTTCTTTCAGAGTGGACAATAAAAGATTCTACTTTGATGTGGGCTCTAATAAATATGGAATTTTCCTGAAGGTAAGTGAGGTGAGGCCACCTTACCGTAATACTATTACTGTTCCATTCAAAGCTTGGACAAGGTTTGGGGAGAATTTTATCAAGTATGAAGAAGAGATGAGGAAAATTTGCAACAGCCATAAAGAAAAGAGAATGGATGGCAGAAGGGCCAGTGGTGAAGAACAAGAATGCCTCGACTAGAGTGAAATTGAACTCCACCAGGCAAAATTTAAAATCACAAATTGGCTAAAAGTACTGATCCATAATCATTTGAAGAAGTTTTTCCTCTTTTCTGGCCCTTTGTTATTAGTAGTACCTCTAATAGTTTATACTTCAAGGAGTCTGATTCTCATATTATACATAGAACACTATAATTTTTAAGGAATTCCAACTTTACCAGAGCTAAATAGCTTAGTTGCTTCAACTGCTCCAGACTATTGAAGTATGCAAATCAGCACAAAATGTGACATTCTGACCTTCTAAATACCATAACTAAGATTTACATTGCACTATGACATCATCCTAAAAAAAGATACATATACCTAATATGGAAGTGTGAATTTCTATTTAATAAGTTCCCCAAAAAAGTATTCTATCCCTACTTCATTAAAAGCTGCTAAGCTTACCTGTAGGACAGTTACCACAGAAACAGAAATTGACCTTAAGTATAGTTTATGTTTATTTATAAAGGTACTAGTAGAAATATATTGTCTATTGGATAACTGAATATTAAACAAGTACTGTTAAGGGATCAAATCTTAGAGTTACTATAATATTATATAATTTCAAATTTTGTGGTAACCCTACAGTTTATAGTTGCCATATCAAAGCCATGGGAGAGTTTTAGTTGGTTATTCTAAGCTAGTTAGGATCCCATCTTCACCTCTGCTTATTGTACCATATATTGTTACTGACTTTCCAAAGTTTCAGGAATTACTTTTATGTCACTGTTGAGTGGGAGGCTTCAACCTATGGCTTCGCTATGGAAATCTTGTTGTTTTAGCTTTTCATGATAATTTGAAGATTGTGAGAGGTTTTCTCCCCAAAATATATTGTGGACTCAAGGTGTTATATTTTATGCTGCTTCTTTAACACTATTTCAGAGGGGTTGGTGCACCAGTTAACTGATATAAAAATATATCTGTAATAATATATCTTAGTAGCACTTTTGCAATCGCTACCCTTAAAACCAGTCAACACTTCCAATATAAACCTGGATTTTACAAGTGTTTTAATTCCAGAAGAAAAAAAAGGTTTTCTAAAAAAGCATTTAGAATACAAATTTTCAGCCTATGAGAAATATTATTTGAAGATTGGTTACCAACATATTTGAAAGGAAAATTCAGGCATTTTCCAAGGTGCTCTTTATGATACTTAAAAACGTTTATTTTACACAAGACTCACCCACTTACCTGTTTTAAAAATTACTTTCCAGGAAGTGCCACAGCAATTTTTCAACACCTAGGTAATTTTTTAAACAAGTGGATACAATGTATATGTGTACCAACCCACCCTATATTAACTGACTGAAATTTTATCTGTTGAGCTGCATTTTATTCTGAATGAAATTACTGTCTTTTATTTTGGCTTTATTCACCTCTCACACAAGAAGTCCATACAATCATATTTAAGAGCCAGACACTGATTTCAACCCCCAAATATAGCTCTCATTGATGAGAGCTGGCTGCATGGATTGAGATCAGAATGTAGCTCTTCTATGTCATAAATAATTCAAAATTACTTTTACCCTTTTTTTCCTCCAGAGGTTTGTCCCCAAATACATTTAAGTAAGAAATTATGGTATGATTAAGAAAATTAATTTCACTGGCTTATGTTACTTCAAAACAAGCAATCAGTAACCCAGACATCTATACTGGTGTTGGTTTGCAGATTGTATTTCACATTTCCTCATGTAGTGTGAAGGAATCTCTTTGATTCACTATAATTGTGGACCATCTGGATCACTATGGAACTGAAGGTTAGAAGATAATGTTAGTACTAGAGTTAATAGCACATGGTGGGTGTTGAGACTCTAAAAGTAGCAAGGATCTTTAAACAGTCCTAACTGTATAATAACTATTGTAGGCTTGATAAAAAGTAGTTTTGGATATATGAAGAAGTGGTGTGCACTTGAATTACTGTACTACTGATTGTTATTGCTGCCCATCATAGTGCCTATTAATAATAATCAACCTGTCAGATTTTACGAACTGGAGCTGTGAGTGTTCCAGTATTTGAGTGTTCCTATCACTATTGCTGTGACTGTATACTCTCTCTTAAAACCTTCCCTTCGAAGATATTTATATCCATTAAGTCTAAATGATTTCTTTTTTAGTTTTTAGTCTGATAAGATTTGAGTGTGTGTCTATATGTGTGTGTGTGTGTGTTTATACCTACACATACAATACTATGTCAGACTTACATATCTTTAATTCACTGTATATAAATACTATTAGTTTAATTGCACATTATTTAAGTAAAAAATTAGTTAAGCAGCCAAATTTTCTACATTGTACGTATACTTCAAAGTTTTTACCGTCTGAGAACTACAGATTGGATAAATGCAAATACACTGGCAAATGACTATACTTTAAAATCATTAAGCCTTCTGCCAGTCCTTTTGTTTAATTTATTTTCATAGTTAATGTATTCATTGAGAAACGAACGGATATTATGATTTTTTGATAGTTAAAATGACCAATCATTCATTAGCCATAATCAAATAAGACCCAGTTCAAAACTCTGGTATTAAGACATGTATTGCCATGTATCTTATAAAATAAGCTACTCTTCTTATCTGTGCAATATACATTTTATTTATTGTCATTTATAACATAAGTGGAGCTGCAAATGTACATGGTATTCTTCAAAATAATAGGGTCCCTGCCTTGAAGAAATTAAACTCTAGAGGCAACTGGATGTTGGAAGTCAAAAAATAAGCATTAAAGTTAGTAACCAAAATAACTAGTTCACTGTATAATTCTGAAATGCTGATGATGTTTGCACATAATAATCTTAGTATAATGTGGTACAGACTCAAAACTGTAATAATATAAGCTAATAGTATGAAATTTGGAAACGGGTTCCTTATAATGGTTGGCAGTGTGCTCCTAGCAATTAAAGCAGCACTAATCTGTTGCTTATATGCAAAAGATGCAATGTATTATAAAAGTATTAAAGTTCTGCCACATTTTATAATTTTCCTTGTTAAAGCCCCAAACTGCCATGTCCCTTAAACTTGAGTCAAACACAAGCTTATTTGCACTAAAGAGCATGGCCAAAAAATAAATGACAGGGTGGAAAAGCTAGTTAGAACCTCTTTAAATAATTGGTTCTAATGGAAGAATTTCACATTTGTCTATTTGAAAGCTATATGGTCCAGGCAGACAATCTGTCAGTTCACTAATTTAATAATGCACTTTACCTTTTGTATATAGAAGATGTACATTTATGCCACATGACAGGGGTGTGTTTCAATAACTATGTTAGAATCTTTAGGGTGATCTCTTGCATGCATATGTTTGTGTTGGGACTGCTGTACTAACAAGTTTCCATGAATCAGTGTAATGGAGAAGGGTAGAAGATGCTTTTGAAACAAATGCCAATACATTCAACAAAGAATTTTAAGTAGAATTCCTATTTGTATTCCTAAGGCCTAGAATCAGTAAAAACCTTTTCTAGCCCAAATGAGTATTACAGTTGAGACTATATATAATTGAGACTCCCTATAATACCCTGAAAGTTCATTTTGGAAATTTGTGCCCACAAAATTCTTTTAATGGTTCTGTTTCATTGTCGATGAGTGTTTAAATAACTAATGAAAAGACGGTACATGGTACTGTATTAGAATTAAAAGTGTGAGTGGCTACTATGATTAAGAAAACATCCAGCCTAAAGAAAGTTTCAGATTAAGGAAATACAACAACATAAAAACAATTGCTAAAACAAACATGATATTATTTCAGAATTTTCAGGAGAACTAACTTTCACCAACCAAAAAGGGTATTGGGGGATTTAGTGTATCCTTCCATCCTAAAAAGTTCCTAAGATGTACATTTGAAAACTGGATAATTGTTGCTTAATAATAGGTTGTATGTACTTTACTACGAAACACTGTGTACTAACAATTTGAGATATGCTATATTTACTGCATTCATTTTATATCTATGGATAAGAATACATTATATATAGTCATCCTATCTTACTATAATCATGTATTTATACTGTAATTTTGCAAATATTTTCAGTAAAATAAACATCTGAGCTGCACAATTTGAAGAGGATAAAATTGGAATATACCCTCAGACACTCACTTTTAATAAGCAGCTGCCAATGAAAGCTGATGTATGTACTATCATTCCTTAAGATTTTGTTTCATGGTTTATTTTAACACTTAAAGCAATAGGACTTAATTTGAATTTTTAAGTGGTGTTCTGCATATAATTTTTTCATAAATGTGAGGATTTTTTCCTGTTTCTTTCCAAATATCTCTCTTTGGAACTATTTGTAAAATCCAATTACAAGCTTTAGATAGGGCTTTGCTTAGTTGCCATACAGTTTGAAGTCTGTCTTTACCACATGAAACATCTTTGGCAGGATGAAGTCTAAAGTAAACCATGAAGAGAAGTTAAAATTGATTTCCATACCAACAGAATAACACAGGTATAATATTTATCACTGCCAAATAAAATTCTTAAAATCTTTCTGAAACTTCTTTAAGGATTTGAATTTCATAGACAAATGGTGGCTTACGGCTAGCCCATCAGAGGAAGAGAATCAGGATGTTAGCATACTGTTGAGACAATCCAGTCTACAATGCTGTAGCAGTAAGATATAGGGAAATGTGTTTTTCCCAATTTTATGTCACATGAAAGTTGAGTTTTTAGATTACAGTTATTCTGTTATAAATAAGCTGAAATTAATGTAGGTGGATCTTAGAAAAACAAGGTATGTTAGTATATTTTCTTGTATAATGTAAAAAGATCTTTTATCTTAATTTGACATGATTTTTTAAATTAAACCTATTTTAATAGTGGGTTTTTAATCAATATTTTTGAATAGGGAAAGTTATATATAGTACAGAATTTAAATGCTACAGATAGGTAGACAGTGCAAAGTAACAACTAATGTTAACAATTTTTGTGTATCCTAGAGTTCCTGTGCTTATAAAAGCATATGTGTATATACATAAATTCTTTTTAAGCATACAAATGAAAACATGTCATATACACTATCCTGTACCTAGCAGTATCAATTTTTGTTTTGTTTTTGTTTATTAAAGTATCATTGATATGCAATCTTATGATGGTTTCAAACACACAACACAGTGGCTCAGCATTCACCCATGTTATCAAGTCCTCACCCCCTCCATTTCGGTCATGTGTATCAACATAGCTGTATAGTCATTTTAACTGTATTCTCTGTGCTGTAGTATCAATTTTAGGTCTGTCATTTCAAGTGATTTTTTTCCCTTTTACTTAGACACCATACTTGATCTAGTTAACATAGCATTTAATTTTAACTATATTATTACACCAAGGGAACCTCAAGGAACTTTTAATGAATCCCACTGGTGTTTACTTAAAATGCAAATATATGTGTAAACTTTAAATGTATAAATATTCAGTATCCCTTCCCTATTCCTAACAACCTTGTCTTCCAATCTTCCCCTTTCTCATTCTCAGAAAATAATTGATCTTTTTCCTCAAGTATTACAGTTTAGGATTGGCAGGATATTAAACTATTTAACCAAGTGTTATTTTAAATTAACTATGTTCTCTAATGAAAAACACCCATATTTAAAAGCTTTAACAAATATCACTGTCAATTTTTACTAATTCTGCTACTATTATTTTATTTTTATCCAAAAACCTTGCCGTTATAAGAGCAAATGAGTACTGGAACTATAGTGGAAGGTGATGTTACGACTATTGAAATCTTTTGATTTATTAACATGAGCTTTTATCTTTATGATGAGAAAGGTACAAAGTTATTGATCAATTATTCATTTCACAACTTCGTCAAATCCTAGGCTAAACAAAGAGCTAATACTAGTCCTGATTGTTTAAAACATTGATTCCCCATTGAAAAACTCAGAGTCTGTCAAGCATTTTTAGGTCAGGATGGGCTATTATGATGATTTAGGAAGAGTAAAATTTTGGGAGCTACAAAGTTACAAGTACAACAGAAACATCTCCATTCTCTGCTGGAAGAATATAAAACAGTAAATACAATTACTTAAAAATGAAATTAACATAATTCTTTAATAGTTCCCCAAGCCCCTCACCCCCACCAAAGAAATTATAATTCTCTTTTCATTCACATGAAGAGTACATTTAAAGTCATTTCTCTAGTGACAACCAAAAAAAACATCTGAAACATTAAAGTTCCCATACTTGAACCCTGAAGGATACCATCTAGTTATAAATTAAAGCAACCAGAGTAAATGATTCCAAACTATCAGGAATATATCAAAGAATATGTAGGTTGAGGAAGAATTTTTTAGTATGTAGGTATCTGTTGATTTTATGAAAATGTTAAAAGGCTTAAAATATTATACATTGGTTTAAACTTTAGAATAATACCTCCGTAATTGGTGGCATGATTTTTTGTTTGTACATTGGTTTAAACTTTAGAATAATACCTCCGTAATTGGTGGCATGATTTTTTGTTTGTAAAATGAGAGAAGTGTTGTTAAAAGATAGGATCCTCTTAAACGTGTATTTTTAAAGCATAAAAGAGTTTGCTCCTTTTATTTTAATGATGATAAACTCCTTATCCTTTCCAGAATCTGTAACATTGGTAAAGTGTCCAGGTATTTACTTGTTTAAGCTTAAAATGGTTTATATGTATTGTTCTTTATTTAAAAAGAGGAATTAAAAGAAGGGTAAATTCACCTTTGGGAATGAGTTTTGCTTAAATTTGGGCTAAAAGCAAAAATTAATAATTTCCTATCCTTAATCAAGGAGTTGCCCATGTTGGTGCTTTCTGATAAACAATGCTTTCTCAAGTTTACCTTCTTTTAATATCCCCTGTAAGAAATTACTTATTTTTACTGAGGCCAGTGGCATCTACCAGTAAATTAAAATTTACTCATAATGAAATTAGCGCTGTTACAATGCAGTTAATTTAGGATGTGAATTTGAAGAAAATACTCATTTAAATGGAATATACAGTTTCTTCTTTAGTGTTGTTCTAAGGTTGAGTAAGAGATGTTTG